CTCAATACCTCTCTGAACCTATTTCTTCCTGTCTAAACACGGACACCTAGACCTTAGCGCTATGAAGATTTCCTTGAAGTACTTTGAAATCTGTCCCATGGGATAGATCTGAGTTATTATTGCTTTAATTTTGTGGAAAGGGGCCTGGCCCTCTGTGTCACTTTGGAATGCCTACCAGTGCCCCAATACCCAGCCTTCCAAGCCTGTCATGATCTTGCCCTCAAATCCAAATTCTGCACTTGGCCTATGGATGGCTAAATATAGCGTGTGTGTTTCAGTTGTCATCATTTAATCATTTCACATACAAATCCAGTTCCCTGGAACTTGGCCAGCTCTACTGACCCCTCCCCACCTTCACATGTGGCATCAAACATGAATGCAGATTGTTGGCTGCTTCTTTCAAGGTCCCCGCTGGTCCCTGCAGGCGTGGCTCCCTCAGTGGTGACCCAGTAGGCTCCAAATGTGCAACATGGCCTTCACCTCTCTGGTCTCCTCCTTTGCCTCATGCTTCCTCACACCCTGCGCAGCCCATGTCCCTTCATCACTCCTCCATGCTGCATCCCCCCTTTCACATTTTTGCCTCTTCCTTCAACAGCCTCCCTGTGGCACTGTGGGGAAGCCCAATAAACACAGACCCATCTCCACCATCCTGATTTCATCAAACGCCTACCCTGAGCCAGTCAGCCCCTGCCCTCCCTGAACACGCAATCCTGTAGGGGAGAAACAGACAGGAACTCACCACTTAGGGGAGTACTCACGTGCTCCCCTAAAAGCACTGGGGGCCTCACATCCACAACCTTGCCTTTATTTTGTGCCCCCAGCACCTGGCAGGGCTAGGCAGGTAAGGGTAGAGTAAATGGTAGCTTCTATTTTAAAGGTAGTTTTATGAGTTTATAATAAAAGTTACTTCTGCACATTTATTATAAAACATTCAAAAGTTAACAGTAGGTCATTATATCTCTATTCCATTCCCAAGTGGGAACCACTGTAAAGTTTCCATTCTCTACGTAGGCAGATACTCCACATGCTATTCTGAAAATGTGGTTTTTTTTTCATTTTATGAGACAGTCAATACCAAATGAAATAATATACGGTCACTGCTTAGAACGCTGCCTGACACAGTTGGTGACTGTTTCTTAGCATGCCATGGATGGCTTTCTTAATCAGTATATACTAATCTCCTTTTACTATTGTCCCCAAACCAAGAATAGGAAAGTCCCTGCAGGAACTTCATCTTGGAGAAAAAAGTGATATGTGCCTTTCCCCAAGGTAGGGGCCGTTGATCCAACAGAAACCAAGTGAAAAGGCTTACCAATGTTTGGGGGGGGATGGTTAATAAGGCACCCTGCCCCTCCCTTGCTGAGGACTCACTGGTGATATCCAACCATCTGAGGGGTAGGGACAGAGCCAGGACCAGGGCTGGGGAGACCCTCCCAGTACCTGGTCCAGGTCTAAGACTCCCGAGCGCTGCCAGGGAAGGCCTTTCCTGCCTACCCAGCCTGGCCTCCCTGGTGAGTGGGGGAGGTGCTGCTCGGGCCTGATGCTGATCTCTCTTGACAGCTGCTCCTGAGGCTGGCAGGACGGGCCGGCGGGGGAAGGGACCAGATTTAAAGGTCCAGCTGCCCCGCCCCCTGCCAGACCTGGGAGGGCGGACGCTGGTGAGCATCCTCTGAGGCATGGCTCTCATGTATATGAGAGATCAGAAACCTCTGTGCCCTGATTCCCGCTCCTGGGTATCATGAACATCACTAGCCCTCATTCCTGCTTCCCACCCCACAGGCCGCCAGGGAGACCAGTGGCACCCACCATGAGATTCCGACGCCTGACCCCTGGCTACTTCCGGGTACTACAGGTAAGTACCTCTCACTGATGGCTTCTGCCACCGGCCCCCTCCTTTTCCCCAGCATTGCTGGGCTGACCCCCAGCAGCCAGGCTGTCACGTTTCCTGCCGCCTGAGCCGCCAGGGCCCAGATGGGCAGTGAAGCGGGAGGGATCGGGGTGGAATCTCCCTGGGGCAGCAACAGCATCCATATCTCCTTCACCCAGCTGTACCTTCTCAGCTCCTTCCCACCCTCTACCTCCCCGGAAGTCTCAACTGAGCCCTCAGATGGACCCTCTGTGTACCTCCAGATGCAGATAGCTGGGGAGCTGAAAGCAGAGCCCCGGAGCCCACTGGCTGGGGTTGTGGCTACACTGCTGGCCGTCCTTGGATTGGGAGGCTCCTGCTATGCTGTCTGGAAGATGGTGGGGCAGCGGCGGCCGCCACAGGCCTGAGGATAAAGTAGGCGGCCTCTCACCTGGGTCCTGGGGAGGTGACTCAGCAGGGGCTGCAATCTCGGGAGCCCATTTCTTTTCTGAGGGCCAGTCCCTGCTCTCACTGGGGAGCAGGACAGTATAAATCTGATCCTCCCTCTCCCCTTCGCTGACCTGGGCTCCATCTGGGGGCTCCAGCTCAGATGCCAGGACCCCCAAGGGAAGGCAAGGCTCTAGGTTCCAAAGCTAGACCAAGTGCGGAATAGACACCCTAGGCCCTGTAAACAAGAGTAGCAGAAAAACCCCACGGGGCAGGAGCTGGGGGGAGTGGCCTGGAGGTTAGAGAGTCAGAGGCAAGTCTTCTCTATCCAGTTCCTTTATTGGGGGTGAGGGCACCCAGAAGAGGCCATCCACTCCCCAAACCCAGGGCCAAAAGAGGTTGGCACAGTCTCTCCCAGCCTAGTCCTTGCCTCACTGTCCATGGGCAGCTCCCCCGCCTTGCATCCTCAGGTCATGTCAGGGAGCTGTGTCCATCTCAGGGACCTCAGTGGATACTTCTGTGGGCACTGCCAGTCGCTGGGGGGTCACGTAAGAGCCCATTCCCGCTGCCCTTTCAGCCTCTTCCTGACTGTAGGGCTCCACGCTCAGCTGCTTTAGCCTGGGAGAAAGAAGAGTGAGAGTTGGGAGCCGACCAGATGCAAGCCCTGTCTGCCCAGCACTCGTCCATCAGTCTTCTCCTTACGCCATACCTTTTCTTGTGGTCTTTGGATCGGAAGTGGGTCTTCAGGGTGGCGGAATCGACGAAGTATCTCCTGTAGGGATGGGAGGTGGGTAATAAGAGTGAGATGATGCCTCTCAGGTACGCCTATCTCCCTGAACCTAGCTCTTCCTGACGCCTGGCTGCGGGACCGAAGGGATGGGAGGCCAGCCGACCCACGGGTCCCACGAGAAGAGACCCCGCGCGTCCCCGGGCCCGGACCTCACGCCCCAGTCCCGTCCCGCCTACCCTTCTCCTCCCCAGGCCAGGCCCGGCCGGGACTCACGCGCAGGCCAGACAGCGATGCAGGCCGCCCCCTGGCAGGTCGGGGTCCGGCGCAGAGCCCGGGTCTGGCCGAGACCGCGCGGGAACCTGGGGCCGCAGCTCGCGGTGAATCTCATCCAGGTCCGGCCGCCGCCGCTTCGCCTTCATCTGGCGGGCCAGGGAGTGGGCTCGGTGCGCACCCGTCCGGCGGGAGCGACCCATGGCCTGTGACAGCGGGGCCAGGAGGCCCAGAGCCGGGTCGGCCGCACACGTGTGGGAGCTTCCGGATTGTTGGCTGACGTCACGTGACGCCCGGGGGGCCGAGCCGGCTCCGCCAGACCGCCTCAGATGACGTCACTCGCGCGGTTCGAGTCTTGAGCGCCCCCAGGCGGCCGTTAACGTCAGTGACGGAGCGCCGGGCGGGGCCCTGAGCAGCGTCATCAGCCGGGGGCGAGGCAGTTGCTGGGGGGCGCTTGGTGGTGCGTGCCCCCGGGGGATTCCGGCCACTGCCCTCCCGTCCTGCCTGGCCCAGCCTGTCTCTGCGCCATCCCTGGGCAATATCACCCCTTGCTTGTTCCTAGATCTTAGACTCCGCTGTTAGTGGGGAGAGGGAAAATGCTTTGAGCATCTCTGGGAGGCACTGAAAAATGTCTGTGATGTGAATAAATGGATTAATGAGAAAGAGTAAGTTTGCGATCCCGGACCCCACAAGGATTCGTGAGGTACCTCCAGTTCCTGACAAAGCCCTCACCACTTCTCACCGTTCCCCACTTAATTCCCTTGGATCTCCAGCCTTCATCCACCCCCAGCCAAATCCGTGAGCAAGGAGTGTTCCTCCTCAGGGAGCACAGTACTCAGGCATCCCCTCAGACTGAACGGGGCGGGGGGGGGGGGTCAGCTCCTCTCACAAGAAGAGAAAGTGCTCATAGAAGGACCTCTCATCTTTGCCCCCTTTCTCTGAGCCCTGGACTCCCAGGCATGGGCTGGCAGCAAAAGCAGAGATACAGCCTAGGTGTTGTGTGCTCAGAGTGGGGAGAGGGCCAGACGGCTTTTCCCCATGAATGGGATCCTGGTGCCTTCCTGGCTGACCAGAGGAGCTCAGCAATAATTCAGGGACTCCAGCTCTTTGGAACCTGTTGCCAGGAAACAGGGAGACGTGCAACGTGCACCCCTGGGGAAAGGAATCAATTTCCAGCCCAGACATAGTGAAATGTAAGCCCAGGGTGCCATCTGGGGGCCTTGGGACCTCCTCAATCCAGTTCACAGCTGAGTGGGGATATAGAGTGGGCCCTGCTGAGGGCACAACTGGTATGGCTACAGCCATTCAGGCACCAGTGTGGGTCTTGGGCCCAAGGACTTTATAAATGGACTTTTGTGAATGAAAACAGATTTTTCTGGAGCCATTCCAAGAGATCCAATTCAAGTACCCGTAGGGCCAGGAAGGAGGCCTCCATAGAGATGTCTTCATTATTCTTGGCCAATATGGGTCAAGACAAGGGGCTGAGGCCACAGAAGCCAGCTCTGTCTTGTCCCCACCCCAGACTCTAGATCAGGTTCACCTGCTGGGCACTGTGCCTTCTGGGAAGGCTGGTGCATCTTTCATGAAGTCACCTGATCCCTGGGACAGGCTCTCAGCCTCACCAAGTTCCTGGAGCCAGACCCACTGGGTGCCCACTGAGTCACTGCCTTCCTGAGCTTGGATGCCGGGTCTGTTTCCCCTGCAGCCATGAACCAGGCCTTCTGGAAAACCTACAAGTCCAAAGTGTTACAGACCCTAAGTGGGGAATCTGAGGAGGACCTGGCAGAGGAGGTGGGTACCATCCATGCTTGCTGGGTGGGTCATGGCAGAGGGGCAGCAGGAGTGAAAGGTACAAGGAAGGGCAAGGGACAGCTCTGGGGAGAGGGCATATTTGTGCAGAAGCCATTGGCACATTCAGGGATGACAAACGGCATGGTGCAGAAAGCCAGGGTATTTAAGAAAACTGAAGAAGAAGATTTGGGGGCCACCAGAAGAATGGTCATTGTCTCCAAAGATCTCAAGGGTTACCACATGGAAGAGATCCTTCCAGGACCAGTGGGCAGTAGCCATCCAGGGTACATGGGGCTTGACAACTGGTGTCCATGTAGAATGCCCCATGAAGTTGTACGGGTGGGTGTGAACTGGAGATAGACGGGGCAGGTGTGTGTATTTGGGGCATAAGTCTCTTCCTGAGGGCCTCTGTGAGGGCATTGGCAGGTGTTTTGTTTGTACAGTGTGTGTGTGTACAGCTCTGCCTTCGTGTCTGTGGATGGGTGGAGAGGTGTAGTGTGCTGTAGGTGGGCCTCTGTCTGCATTGGTGTAAGTTCACAGGTGTGAATGGTATAACTGTGTACGTGTCCTTGTAGAGGTGCCTCCCAGCACGGACATCTTTGCACAGGTGAAGAGGTATAGTCGTGTGGAGGCATGCTCATGTACAGGTGTGTGTCTCCATCGGCACGCATGCCCTTGTCCGCACATTTTTGGGTGTGTGTGGATATGTCTATGGGTGAGCAGGTGTGTGCTCAAGGGTTTCTGCAGGGGTCTACTATACAGGTAAGGTATGGGACTGGTGGCTTTGTGTAGAGGTATACCTGTCTGTATTTACGGAGGGTGTGAGTGGACGAGATGGGTGTTGACGTGTGAGGTCTTGGGGTGCCGGGGTGTGCATACCAGGCTAGCAGTGGGCGAGGGAGGTCCCATTCCTCTGGGGCCTCTCTCATGCTGGGAGGGGGTCTTGTGTCCCAGAGAGGGAACCCAGCGTTAGCGGAATCTGAGCCGGCAGAACCTGCAGAAGAGGCTTTCCATCCCATGTCACAGTTTGCCCGCCGGGTGAGTTCTCCCTTCTTCACCCCAGCCTCGGGGAGCCTGGCAGAGGCCACTGTGACCCCTCGCTGACTCCCAGCCCCTTCCTCCCAGGTTCAGGGGGTCGGGGTGAAAGGTTGGCTGACAATGTCGTCTTTGTTTAACAAAGAAGATGAGGACAAGCTCCTGCCCCCAGAGCCCTGTGCCGACCAGTACGTGTGTGTGTTGGTGGGGGCTGGGATGGGCCTGGGGTCCCCCTTCTCCCGTGTGCTTTCCTTCTGGTCTATTTGTCTATCTTTCTGACCAAGGAGGGAGGGGGAGGACCAGCCCCAGGCTGTTTCCGTTTCTCTCATCGGGAAAGAGGCCAAAGCAACCTATCTGGAGTTCAAGTTAGATCTCAGGAGGACTTTAGGGCTGTTGGGATTGAGGTGCTAGAAGGTACTTTAGACTCTCTCTCTCTCTCTCCTCCCCATCCGCATGGGAGGGGTCCTCTCCCTACAATCAGGAAACAGAATAGAGAATGTTTAGGTGTTCAGAACAGAGGGTGGTCCAGATCCCAATGCTGGTCTAAACCCTCATCCTCCTAGGGAGTTTGTGCCAGACCCTCCTTCAAAGATTCTGATTCCGCAGGTGTGGGCTGAGGCCTGGGATCTGTATTTGCAGCTTGCTCCTGAGGACCTGAGGCACACTAGTTTAGTTAGGAACCACTGACTTAGAAAGACTTTGATGCTGGGGTTTAGGGGACGGGACCCAGGGCAGCTCCTTTCTCCTAGCTCTATTCTAGTACACACTCCCTCCCTGCCCTTTCCTCCAGCCCAGTCATACCCCCTTTCTTTGACACTCCCCTATTCCTTTCTCCCCGGGGGTCCCCCTGACCCACCCATCTCTCCAGCCCCAGGGCTTCCTTTCCCCCTCCTGGCGCTCATCCCCTGTCCCTCCCAGAGCTCCGAGGACTCCTTCCCAGATCTGAGGCTCCTACCTCAAGACTCATCCGCCCTCCTTGACTGCCCTTCTCCCCACATTCCCTGCCACTTTCCCAGTCCTTCTCCCCACTAAGCCCTCATCTAGGCCTTTCTCATTTCCTTGGGTCGTTCTACCCGTCCTTCTGTCCAGTGTTTCCTCATTTTCCCAGTCCCCCTTTCTCTCCATCTCAGAACCTCACCCCTGCCCCCACCCTGCCTCTTTCCCTGGGGCTGCCACCCTGGCTTCCCGGACGCCTTCTCCCAGCGTCTGACCCCGCCCCAAGCGTCGCTGGGCCCCGCCCCCATCCGGGCTCCTCCCACAGCTTTCCGGGCTCCTCCCACAGCTTTCCGGACTCCTCCTGTCAGGCTTCCCGCCTCTGGCGGTACTCCTCTCCCCGAGTCTTTCCTAAACCCCTGGCCCCGACTCTCTCCCCAGGAGTCCTGGCCTCAGTCCTGACCTCTTCCCAGACCCCTCACCTAATCCCATGATCCTGTCCCACCCCAGCCCCCTTTCCCTGCGCCTCTGAGCCCTCCCGGGCCTCCAGTCTCCCGCTCCCCCCCCCGTCACCTGACCTCCCTCTGGCTCCTCCCGCCTCACTACTAGCGCCTGTACCCCGTCTCCCCTCTTCGTCCTCTCCTCGGGCCTCGGCCAGTGACACCCGTCCTTCTCCCGCAGCCCGCTGGCGGCGCGGTCCCCCTCGCAGGCGGTGACGGCGACGGAGACAGAGCCGCGCGGGCCGGGATTCTGGGACGCGTTCGCCAGCAGGTGGCAGCAGCAGCAGGCGACAGCGGCGTCCATACTGCGCGGCGCCGAACCCAACCCGGAGCCAGACCCAGAAGCCGGGGATGAGGTCGCGGAGGAGGCTGCCGAGCGCCCCGAGCCAGGGGAGGCCGACGCCGTGGCCGGCTTCAAGTGGGGCTTCCTCACCCACAAACTGGCCGAGATGAGAGTGAAGGCTGCGCCCAAGGGCGACTAGCAGGCCGGCCCAGCTGGGCACCCGCTCCTTCCTTCCCCAAGCCCATAAAGACCCTGACCCGACACCCCGTGTGACCGCGTGCCTTTGTCCGGACGGCACGGATGACTGCTTTTGGGTGGGCAACCTCAAGGCAGGGTCCAGCTCAAAGCGTCCTCCCCCCCTCCCCCCCAAACGTAGGGGGAGAAAATGACCAGACAGCCCTGTTGTCAGGATAGATTGTGTCCGATTTAGGGTACAGCTTTACAGAAACCTGAGAAAACCCAGAGGACAGGCCCCATCGCCCTGTTCAGCCTCTTAATTCGACAAACGTTGCCTGTGACCCTGCTATATGCACCGTCCCTGTACTAGGGGAAGGTCAGGAGGCTAGAGACCTGGAGAGGGAACTCAGACGACCAGCGGGTCCCACAGAAGGTGACAAGTTGAGGCACAAAAATAAGGCTGTACTTGGGAGCTCGGAGATGATGCCGACTGGGGGATTCCGGAATTTCTGAGGGGGAATGAATACATGTAATCTTAGAAGGATGAGTGGAAAGAAAGGGGAACGTAGCCCAGGCAAAGGGAAGAGGACCCTAAGCAAAGACTTGGAGGTGCGGATGTGTGAGGCCAACAAGTGACCTTGTGTGTCTTTGAGGGAAAGGAAGACAGTGGCCCGATGTGAGGCTGCGGGTTAACAAAATCCTGGTTTGAAGGGTCCCTTCCTTTACTGTCCTCAATTCTGGATTCTTCCTATCTCAGCCCATTCAGAGCTAGTAACCAAAAGGGGGCAGCAAATCTCCAGGAATGGGGGCTTTTCGGCCGGGGGACCCCCAGATTTCTGGAGCAGACCCCTCCCCCAGAACTCCCCAAACACCCTATTCCTGACTCCCAGATCTAGTTTGGACCGACCTCGGGGTCGGTGGAGGAGATGATCATAATAGAGTTAGTACTAATTCCGTAGTGGTCTTAGTGGCTGTCGTTTATTGAACACTTTCTATATGCCGGGCACTTTGCCATGCGTTTTGCGACCATTTCAAAAATACTTTGATCACCGAGGGGTGCAGCTGTGGTTCGGGGAGGTTAAGTGCTTGCCCAGGGTCACACAGTGAGCCTGGAGCCCGCATTCCAAAACCCGCGCGCGTAACCCCGCAAGCCCGCCCCGCCCCCTCCCTCAATATCTGCTCTCTAATCCAACATCACGACTCCTTTAAATAACGTTTTGGTTTTATTCATCAGGTTCTCTGACCTCCCACCCCAGGCTTCTCTCCCCAGACCCGGCCTCCACAGGGGCCACGTAGCTGCCCCCTCCCCCTCCGTCGTCGGCTCTGGGAAGGGCCTTCGGAATCCTTTTGTCCCATCCTCCCAAGGTTCACAGGGGGAAACCAAGAATCCAGAGGGAAGGGCTCGCCTAAAGGCACCCGGCGCGTCAGAGGCAGGGCGTCCCTGCCCGTGCCCGGGCCCAGCCCTGCGCCCACCCCTTAGCCCTCCCCGGGCCCCGGAGCCGGGCCTCCCCGGAGCCCGCTCCCGAGCGGCCGCAATCACACCTCGGACTCGCGCGGCGGGCCGCGGGCGCGCTGGCAGCCGTACAACCACTGGATGACGCGCGCGTTGCGCTCCACCACCGACACCGGGGGGCGCCCGTCCCGCGCCGAGCCCGCCGCCTCTGAGCCGCCGCCGCCGCCGCCGCCGCCAGCACCGTCCGGGCGTTCCGTGTCGCCGTTGCTGGACGTCCAGTCGCTGGTGTCCCCAGAGCCGAGCGGCGGCGACGTTCCGGGCTGGGAGCTGGCGTCGGCGCCCCAGCTCTGCGGAGAGAAGCGCTCAGCGCCCAGCACCTCCACCAGCGCGCGCTCCAGGCCGCAGTAGTTGAAGAAGCGCTCCTTCTCCGACAGGGGTAGTGAGCAGGTGGGGCACAGCGCCCGCTTTCCTGCTGCTTCCGGGGCATCTTGGGGCGCGGCCCAAACTCCAGGAGCCGCTGGTCGCTCGGTTGGGCCCGGACTGCTCGAGGTGGCGTCTCGGGGGGCCCCCAGGAAGAGGCGCCGCACCAGCCCCTGGCCCTTGGCGTTCTCTTTGTTCACAGAAGCCTTGCAGTCCCGCTTCTGGCGGTAGAAGATGAGGGAGTCAGGCCTTGGCAGCCGCCGGCCACTGCTCCGGCGGGCAGGCCTGGGCGTCCTGGGCGATGCAGGGGCCCCCAGCTCATTGCAGGGGTGCGGGGTGAGCGGTCCGGGACCCCCACGCAGAGCTGGCTCCTGGCGTCGTGCTATCACTTGGTGTGTCTTGACGTACTTGGCTTTGTCGGCCTCCAGCCTCTCCGCTGCGCTGGGGGTCCGTCCCCTGGACGGGGTGGAGGGAGAGGCCAGGATCATCTCAGCGGAGCTGGGTAGGATTGTACCCCATAAGCCACTGGAAGTAACGCAGCTAGTTGAGGAGCCAAGAGTAATTGGCCCGGGACTCCCTGGTGCCTACAGGGAGAGAGGAATGGTCAAGGAGAGAGGAGATGTCCCTGCACCTCTCCTTCAGGCATTCCCTAGAATAGGATCAGCCAGCCACCCCTCCCCCATCCAAATCAGCCTTACCATGCCTAAGGGGCAGAGAGGCTCAGACTACCCCTCCCCCCCTCCCCTATCCCTCAAAGACATTGAGCAGGGGCGCCCTGGTCACCCAGAAACATGCCCCTTGGAGGGTACCCCAGTCTGGCCACAGAGCCATGCCAAGCAAGCATCAGCAAGTGGGACACTTGGAAAAGGAAATGGGGCTGGTCCCGGCTCAGTTCCCGAAAGCAGCCTCAACCGGAAAAAATACCTCTTCCCAACCCAGCAACTTTGAGTCCAAGACAAGAAGGCTCCCCAGTCACAGGCTGGCTCCAGCAGGGCCCACCCTTCCCGCCCCCAAGCACCCGAGGTCAGGAATATAACCACAGGGTAGGAGCCTCCAGTAATTGCAGCCAACTGCCCTGCCCAGTCCCAGCAGGGCCATGGGGAAAGAGAGAGGTGGTGACCAGGTCATGTCAGCCAGCGACCTACCACCTCTGTACTCCTGCCAAGGGAATTCCACAACGCCCGCCTGTAAACACCACCTCGTCTACCTCTGCATTTCCATTTACAGAAAAGGAAACTGGTAGGGAGGAAGGGGCTTTGCTCAGGTCTTACTGAGAGTTAGGGGCTGGGATTGAAACCCCAGGCTCTAGCCTTGCAGTGCAGAACTAGTTCAGATGGCCTGTCTCAGGGCCGAGCAGAACTTCCCTCTCATGTTTTGCTTCTCTTCTTGCTGCTGTAATACTAAGCAATTTCCATTAGACATGGGCCTTTTGCCTCACTCAAAAGTTCCTTCCACAAATTCTTCCCAATAACCGGCCCTCACAGAAATCTGCCCTCAGGGCCCCTGCCCTCTTCTCGTCCTGAGACCCTGTGACCCTGGTCTGCCACCTCCCCTCTGCCACTGGGGAAGGGGACCAGGAGGGGTTGTATATCAAGAGCTGACAGTGCTGTTGGCAGTAACAGAATGGGCCACCCACACGGCTCCGCACACCCCATACCACCCCCGCTCCCTCCTCCCTGAATCCCTCCATTCAGCTGAAAGGGACACGTAAGTTCTGGGGGCTGACAGGACCTCCAGTCAGGAGGCACCAAAATAGCAGAACTTGCCAGGGATGGGGGGAGGCACCCCCAAGAGGCCTTGGAACAGAGACCCTGCCAAACCCCCCACCCCAGCACGACACACGCACACACACACCCTTATCCGGTGTCTAGTAGGCCGGTCCATAGGTAGTTGGTGACTGCGAGCCCAGGCAGCAAGGAGAGCCTGGCAGCGCCCTCCCTCCTGGCTCTCAAGAACTCTACCAGGCAATGGGTCAGATTCCAAGGTCCCAGGAGGCCACTGTGCTTGTCTGACCTTATGAGTATCCTCCCATCCCTTTCTCCTCTTCCCAGCCCTGCGCAGCAAGGCTATAAAAAGTCCCTAAACACAGGGACCGAAATAGTCTGCCATCCACTGTCTCTTCCCTGCCTCCTGGGTTGGCTCTGATGCTTGGCCACGGATGCCCCACCCTAGAAGGCCGGCAGACATCCCTGTGCTGTCCGTCCCTTTGCCCACCTTCTCCCGGTCCTGTGGTTGGTGGTCTGAGCTTCGCCCGGGGCTTCAGCTCTGGACATGGGCTGGGGGGGAGGGGGGGGCTTGTTCCCTGGCTTGGTGCCAGCCTCCCTGCCCTTGGGTCCCTGAGTGCCTTCCCACCCGGGGCCCTGGGCTGGGGATGCACTCACCGAGGCTGGATGCAGGGGTCCCTGGGCAGGACCGGACAAGGACAGGAGGGACAGCAAGGACTGGAAGTAACTTTGGTGGCAGCCAAACCTCACTCTCCACAGGAAAAGGAGAGAGAGCCTCCACCCGCCCCCCCACACCATTAACCCTCGCCTTCCTGACCCGGAGCCTGGTCTCCAGTTAACTCCTTCCTGGTCACAGTCGCAGGACTGGAGGGGATCTTTGGGCCAGGTCCACATCCTTTATTTTACAGATGGTCACACAGGCCCTGACAGGTTACGTGATTTGCACGGAGGCACAGTGAGCTTGGGGTACAGCCAAGACCCAAGCAAGGTCTCCTGATTCCCTAGCTTCCTCCAGAGGCCTGGGGTAGGGATATGCTCTTCATGTGGGGTCAGCCCCCTCTCCCAGGCCTTGGCAGAATCTCTTGGTTAAAAGAGGAAGGCAGAGCAGGGTTCTAGCTGACTGTGCTTGTTTTCCTCTGTAGCAGGTTTAGGCCTGTCCTGGCTGGGGTATGTGGGGGGTGGCAGGCCTGCTCTCCCTAGGGGTGAGGCCAGGAATCTGCAGCCCAAGGGTGGGAGCGTTGGTGCCGCGGATGTGCAGGGTGAGCCTGCCCTAGCAAGTCTTGGCATGACAGTCACTTCGGAGCCCTCTGGAGGTGCCTCTGCCCAAGGTCCTCTGATGGCCAATGGGATCGGCTGGGAAGAGGGTGATGAAGGGATGGTTCTGGGGCCAAGCCGGTGTCTTTGGCCTCCTTTCTGCTTTGCCCCACTGGGGACTTCTCGAGCTGACATCTCATGTCTCGAGGGGGAGCTCTGTCCCCACAGTGCTGGTGTCTGGTGATCTCCTCCCCTCTCCCCAGTAAACTGCAGCAGCCAGAGCTCAAAAATCAACACCCTTGCCAAGGGGCCCCTGCCCCTCTCCTAGCTGGGCCACTCTCCACAAACCCCTTCCCCTCCCTTGTAGAACTATTAATGTTTGCAAAGCACATTCACACCTGTGCTCTTGGATCTCCCTTGTTTCTCCCAAGAACTGTAGAGGGGGGTGCCTGGGTGGCTCAGTTGGTTAAGCGACTGCCTTCGGCTCAGGTC